CTTTCCTGTCTTAATGGATGTTTGTAAAACTTCTTCTTCACCGTGTTCGGGGTCATGGTCGTCATCATATCTTGTGAAATCAGAGATGTTGTCATACATTAAGCATATCTGTCTCAAAAGTTCTGCTATTTGAAACTGGAACGAAAGATATACAGAACTTTCATCATCTCCTAAAGTCAAGTCTGCTTTCTTAAGTATTTCTTGAATGTATGCAATGAGAACAGAGTACCTTGGAAAATATTCGAACAATATTTCATTAGCTGTTGGTTTTGGTGGTTCTTCTGGAGTTTCTGTTGTTTCAGTTCCTTCTGTAGGTTCTGTTGGAGTTTCTGCATCTCTTGACTTCAATGCTCTTGCTCTCAAAGACCTAAATGTTAGAGCACCAGGTTTTACAAAGGACTTTATAAATGCTTTAATAGTTCCTGGTAAGTTATTGTTAGCATTAAGTAAGTTCCTTATGCTTCCATCATGTACGTCCATAGCACTATGTAAAAAATCTATACTCTTCTTGTAGTCAGCAATAGACTGACTGTGATTTTTTAAAGATTTGTCAATACCTTTAAGCCAATCTTCATGCATGTCTGATACTGAGCCAAGAATATCATTTGCTTCCTTTAGTGTATTTTGTGCTTCTCGTAAAGTATCCAATCCCGTACGTGCATTGTTTGCTATACGTCTTACAGTATCTATTTGACTCCTTGTTTCTTGCATCCAACCAGATAAAGTTTTAATAGTATCCGAACCATTTGAAATGAAGTTCAAAGCATTTTTAACGTCATCTAAAACTTCTTCACCAAGTACTGCCCATATCTTTCCGATTTGGTATTTGAAGAACTCCATATGAAGCAGCTGTTAAACAGTATTTATAAGGTTCCATATCCATGATTTAGCAGTTTTTCCATCCTTTCCATCTTCACCATTCAAACCGTTTTCGCCTTGAGGTCCTTGTATTCCTTGTATTCCTTGTATTCCTTGTGGTCCTTGAGGTCCGGTGTCACCCTTCTCTCCTTTCAGTTCATCTTTATGTTCGTTATAATATTCTAATGTCATAAGGTGTACATCATTACTGCTACCAGCAACGCCGAGAATTTGTTTCTCATTCATGACTAAATTCTTTAGGCATTTAATGTTGTCGTCAAATCGAAAGCTCTTTAACAATTCAATGAGAACATTTAATACTTTCACTAATGAGGCATCTACTGTAGAATTTATATATTGCACCGTTCCATCATTTATGATGGGAACCTTGCTTGTTGTAATGAATGGGTCATAAGTGTTAAAAGTATCGAAATCAATGACTTTTTTAGTTTTTCCATCGTCAATGACTAAATCATTGCCTTCAATGGTTAAAGTTGAGTTTTCGTTTACTAGTTCATGTGCTCTTCTTGCTTCATTTGTTTCATACGCATATGCAGCAATAGTCATATTTTAATGAGAATAAAATGTTGTTCTATTTGCAAAGTACAGACCCAAACGAATACGGGACAGTAAAGCTACAAACAAACTTAGGTCTTCAGAATGAAGCGCTTGCTTTCAGAGTTGTTGACTTCAATACTATCGCAACTTTTGTCATAACAGATGAAACAGATTTCATAGAGATTGAAATAGATGACAAAAGAAGTGTTATAACATTTCCTAATAGAGCTGGGTATAGAATAGATAAAATTGCTGGAGTCATAGATACTCTCATAAATGAAGAAACTATTGACAACATATGTCTCATACCGAAATGGCTCACAAAAAAGGTGACATTTTTGGCGCCAATAATTTGATTTTTCTGATTCTTTCTATTTAGATATATTTATTTAATATTCATATTCCTTTATATTGCCTCATATTATTTCCCATTTTTAATCATATTATACAAATCTTTAATAATTTTTAATGTTTTGAGCTTCAAAATCTTGTTCTAACTATTTTCATTCATATATCCTAGAAAAAATTAAAAAGTTTTTTAGAAATAAAAATGTTTGTATGTAAAGTATTGAAAATATTCTAGATGAGAAGACATTCTCCAGAAGAGATTGATATTGATTGGCTTTGTGAAGCCATCACAAAATCAAATAATGGAGTTAAGTTAACTGATATTTGCGCGAAAGCTAAAATAAATCATGAAGGCAGAGTTATATATAATCATACTATCTTAAAGTATTCCTAGAAATTTCCAAAATTAACCGAAATATAACTGGACAGAATTACTATTTTCGAGATAAAATTCATATGGAAATACTAATTCATAACGCTTTATGTTATATAAAATTTAATTTATAAAAATTTCAAAATAAATCAAATTTAACACAATGAATATAACTGCAATCGAGGTTTTTGACGATTGATTCTTACGAGAAGTTTTCCAAACTTTGAATTAATGTCTTGACATTAACTCAAAGTTTGGAAGTCTAATAAGGGGAATTGTAGGCTATGAGGTACTGATTATATATCAGTGCCTCATAGCCTGCAATTCCCATTAGAAATCGGAGAAACTTTGTCCGCATAACTTATGATGCGGACAAAGTTTCTCCCATTTCTACTTAGAATGAAAGGGCAAGAGGTATATAGGTACACTATATATCTCTTGCCCTTTCCTTCTTACCTAAAGACTTCCAATCTTATTTTTTTTCCAATTTTTCCCCTAAATTTAAATCTTATATAATATAAATAAAATGCATAATATCAATCACAAAAATTAATGTTTATTTTTTTAATTAAAATTGCCGCGCAATTTAAGGTTTTCTGTCACTTTTTTGTGAGCCATTTCGGTACGAAACACTATTGACAACATAGATGTCGAACTCTCTTCTGAGGGAACATTGAAGTTCAGCAGCGAGAAAGAGTTTAAGATACCAAGAATGAGTCATAGAGTACAACTTCTTTTGGGTGCATACCATATGACATTTCCTTTGAAAAGTGTTGACAAAACGATTGAGATGAAATCTGTTCCATACGTATGTTATGGTAATTGTTTGTACATTAAGTCAAAAATAGCTAATGTCACAGGTATTTCAGGAGTTAATAGTAAAGGTTCAGTAGAATATAAGTCTTTCTGTTATGCAGTCAATTCAATGTTCATTCCAAACGTTCCTGTCATAGCAACTCATTTAGGTAAATGAGTTCGCATTAGTCCTCATAATTTGAAAGACATGCAATTCAGACTTGTTGACTTTCAAGGAGAGCCTGTAGAACTGAAGGCACCAGTGCGAATGACTGTTGAAGTTGACTTTTTAGAAAATATTAAATGCAACAGCTTACAAGAGAACTCAGAGCTAAAAATATAAAGTATGAATGTTATGTATTAGGTCATGAACTTTGGTTGTTGCTGTTTGATGAAACAAATGAGTTAGTTATGTCAGTCAAGAGAACAGAAAAATATTGTGTTAGTGAAAACTGCACCAAGTCAATAAGATTAGGTTTGCATTATGAAGATGAGTTCGATACTGTTGAAGAAGTTTTGGACAGATATTACAAATTGCTAACTTGAAATTTTTTGACTGACGGCGCAAAGCGCCAAGATGGGCTCAAAGAGCCCTCCTGACTGCTTTAATTTACTAAAACATATTTAAGACATAATTTATAGTAAGTAGATAGTTTTGTATACTCGTTCGAATATTTATACTTAAACTCAACTCCTGTAGTTCCTGGTGTTTCAATGATGCGGATGTTACCTATTTTCATGAATAGTGGAGTTTGACCACAGCATTCGATTTCAGGGTCGAGATAGTCAATGACACTTTGTTTCCCTGTTATTCGTGAGATAACATTTTCAAGGTCCTCCTTTGTTAGAATTATTTGGTTCTTACTTATAAGATTTGTCAAAAGCTTCTTATCGTCTTTGAGTAAAATTGTTTGGTATAACTGAAGAAGGTAATGGTCTACGTTATCTGAAGGATTTGTTTGAACATTTGTGTAAGGGTTGTCGTTGGATTCTCTTGAAAGAACTTGGTCCAGTGGTGGATACTCTAACTTAACATCTGATGTAGCGTTAGCGTTTGAAGCTGTGTTTAAATTCACCGACTTAAGATCTGGTTCTTTTTCTTTCAAACACTCCGAACTATAGTTCTTTATGACAATATTGTTTGTCGTTCGTGAGTCAACATTTGATGTTGGTTCAATTGGAACATTAACGGCACCAGCTAAGATGGATTTGCTTCTCATTTCATATAGAATAAAAACCTTTTATATGTATGAAATGAATAATATACTCGACAAGGGTTTGAATGTAAAGCTAACGAATGAAAATATTGTTGAATTCACTGAGACAGGAGCTGTGTATAAAGATGTAGAACTACTGAACAAAAGAGCAAAGGGAAGAAGCAGGAATATGAACAAAGGGTGGAAGCCTATAAAAATTTATGTCAATGATGGCTCAGGAGGTTCAAACATAAAGTATGCAGAAAGTTATAGAGTTTATGCTCTCAAGGGAGAGAAGCCTTCATTTAAGAACAGCTATTCTAACACATATCCTCAAAAGCTAACGGATGGGGAAGTGGATGATATGAATGACAGCAAAAATATTAACAGAAATGGCGACAGAGATGCATGGAATTTGTTTACCATCAGTCAATTGAAGGTTAAACTTTAAAACAATGTTGGTCGTTCCCATGGAATATTTTTGACTTTAATGGTATTAGTCATGATATGAATCTCAAGGTATGAACGAGGAGAGATGAGAGACTTATATGCTTCCCAAATTTCTTCAAAAGGTAATGTTATACCTGACTGTTTCCAAATGAGTTCAATGTCATAGCGTGAGAAACCTTGAAAGATAACGAAGTCAGTTATGAGACGTTTTATGTTTAAAGCTAAAAACCTCCATGTTTGCATAAGTATTGCTACAGTTAAATGGTAATGTCTGACTTTAGTTATGATGTTAGCTAATGGTGAGTCTGGTTTTGACACTAAACCTTTTCCGGCGAAGTCGTCACAAACGAGCAGAGTGTTTGAAGGATACTTTTTGAAGGGGTATTTTGAAAGTTTTGATAGAATGTAGTTTGTAAGTCGTTTCATATCGTAAACTCCTGAGTATTGACGTAAGTGGTGTTTGTCAATAATTCTTTCCATCTCCTCAGAAGTCTTTTGCATCCTGACTGTATAAATTCAACGATGGCATAATATTTCCTCTTACGTCGAATGTAACGTTGAAGAAATTCAATGAGTTCACTGTCTGGAACTTTAACGACAGAGGCTTGAACTTTTGACATAAATGTTTTCGCTGTTGAGTCCATAGAGTCTGAAGTTGCTGATATAATGATTTGGTCATAATATGAGTCATTTCCTAAACGTTCTGTTATGAGTATATGACGAATGAGGTTAAATGTCTTACCTGAACCCATCTTTCCACAATAGAAATACACACCATTTGAACAGAACTCATAATCTTTGCTGAAAGGAAGAATAAGAGAAGAGTTAAGTTTGTCTGTAGTTTCATTCATGTCTTCATCTACGTCATGTATTAAATGCTTCATTTTATCTCCATTAAAAATGCAAGTCAGAAATATTCAGAACATAGCACCGAGTCTAACTGACAAGAGTATAAAGATATACTATGAACACGTTATGATGAAACCAACCAAAATTCAAGAAAGTCAGTATACTTATGAATATCCAAGACACTGGGTAGAGTATGTAGGAGGTGAGAAAGCTATTGAAATCAGACAGGTTCGAAGTATTCCAGCAGGAAGAACAATATTATTGAAGAACTTTAATGTTTTGAGATATAATGATGAAACAAAGAAGCAAGATAGTTTCCCTGTTGCTGTGTATGTGAACTTAGATACAGGAGATGACATGAAAGTTTTTAATACAAAGCTTCAAACGGTAGTGAGAGAACAACTGACTGCGGAAGGACATCCATTACCTTCAGAAGTTACCATAGCATATAATTTTGAAACAAACTCAATAGATTTTAAAGTCATCTCTGCAAAGAAGTCAGGTTTTACATTTAATGAAGCAGATGTATATTCGAATGAAAACTTCAAAGCTATTGCATGGTTAGATAATGACGATTGCTTTAAGAAAATATTTAAATACAGTGACTCAACGATGTCAATAGATGACCTTCGTGGAATGTTACCATCGACGTTTACAGTAGAAGGTTCAGCAGGATTGCTTACAAGATTGTCAATTGGTGGTATTTGGTCTCGTGAGAACATTGTTATAAAATCCAGTATAAGTGAATTTGCTGAAGAATCTATATTATGTCTTTCAAACTACATGTATTCGCCGCCAAAGCATTATAGTATAACAAACTTTGTCAGTAAGTTTAACATAAGACTTGTCGAACCTTCTTCAATGAAAGATGTTGTGCTACCCAAAGACGGAAAGGATGGACTCATTATTGAGATGATTTTAATAGCATATTAAATGAGCTTGTTCTTGAAGGTCATTCATGATGAAATAACTGTTGTAGAAGATGTTAGCAATTGTTCAGACATTTTGAAGCGTATAGATGATATAAGAAATAAGTTAGATAGACCGCAAAGCGGTGAGGGCGAAGCCCGTGAGAACGCTTATGTTTCATTGACTTTCTCCAGTAACGAGAACTTTTATGAGATAATATTGAAGAGAGATGATTTTAATATGGGGTAAATGGTAGTTTGGGCAGCTTTAGGCGCAATGGGAACAAAAGCATTAGCATTTGGAGCAAAAGCACTTGGAGCTTATGACGCAGTAAATAAAATGAGTGGAGGAAGGGTTTCAAAGACATTAGACGCAAATAAAGGAAAGATTGGAGGCTGGGTTGCAAAGAAGTTAAGATTAAATAAAATGGGGCTCATAAATAAAGCATCCAATTTGGTTGCGACTGAGTCAGAAAATGCTTTAGGAAAAGACGATGAGTTTGCAAAACACGCAAAAGACTTTAATGACCAGATGAAAGGTGAAACAATGCATTTAAATAGAGTCGATGGAACTAAAGAAAATGTTTCTTCTCCACTAGTAGTTCTTCCGTATGGTCCCTATGGAATGTATGGAAACCATTACGAAAGACCATTTGACCCATTGACTGGTGGAAGTAACTGGTATCATTACGGCCGAAGAAGAAAGACAGTCAAGTTGGAGACAGACGTGAAGAAAGCAACTAAAAAGAAACCAAGGAAGAGAGTTATAAAGCAATGAATTCAACAGGGTGAAAAAACAGGTGAGATCTCACCACTTCACCTAAATCTATTTTTGTGCTATGTTTTCATACGTGTGAGGGTGGTGATATCATTAATTTTTAAGTTTATTTTTTATTTTATTTTTATATAAATGACGAAAACTATTGAGATAACAAACTACAACGGTCATGAGTTCAAGAATTTGTTCTTCGTTCCTCGTGAAAATACATTCTATCAGATACGAGGGAGAAAGGGTAAAGTTAGTTTGAGCGTTTATGAAGGAATGAAGAATGGAAAGTTTATACAAGCATACGATACAAACGGTAAGCGTGTTTCATTAGCTTTGTCAAAACTTACAGGTATAAACTATGACAGTGACTTTGACCTATATGAAGAAGAACGTGAGTCAGAAGATTATGAGCTGTTATATGAAGCACAGCAATGGGAGGAGTTGCAATACTTTTGTAAGTGAGAACGTTTATTTTTACATTAGTGAAGTCGTTTGTTGTTGTGCATGAAAATTCGGTTCACTTCACTTCTGACAAAAGTGACAAGTTTACATGGCAAAAATAGTTTACATGGCAAAAATATATAGGGTATTTTTTTTAAAAGTAGTTATCTTTATATATAAAAATAAAACTTTTGATATATTTGAGTAAATGATTTATTAATTTATTTATTTATTTTTTTTAAATCAAATCATATAAATATATATATATATATAATAGTGAAATAGAACAAGAGATAATTATTGATGATTAAATTGTAGACGAGGATAAAAGTTTAGATAAATTAATAAAATTAGTGTGGAATCAGACAAATTTCGGGTTGTTTGGGAAGGAATTGTTGGCTATGATGTACTGATTCATGATCAGTACATCATAGCCAACAATTCCTTATACAAAGTTCAAAAACTTGGGTGCAATCAGTTCTGATTGCACCCAAGTTTTTGAACTTTCCATTAACAATTGTTCAATCACATTTATACAACCCAAATCTATACCAATCATACTCTTATTCATACATCATATTTTAAAAACTTTTTTGCAATATGATATATGTAAAGTGTCAAAAATGAATTGAACCGAATTTTCATGCATTACAAGTGAAGTCGTTTGTGAAAACATTAGTGAGGTGAAGTGGTTGGTGGCTTTGTATATATTTAAGGTTAAGTTAGTGTTGTCGTTTGTGTTGTAAAATATACGTTAACGGTTTCGTAAAGTGTCAAAACCGCTAAGTGGTGTACGGAGGCGCGCAGTGCCACAGTACACGACTTAGGTATACTAACTTTATCACAGACGACATCAATTGCCCAGGTGTTCAAAAGTTGGTTGACATTAACATTGGATGGATGTTTGAAGAAGCAATAAACGAGTTGAGAGACAATGCAAAGAACAAGTTTCAGACAAAGAAAGGAAGAGCACCAAGTACATTTGATCCAGACTCATTCAAGGATTCAGTGAAGTTTCTTATGGAACATGATGCAGATGGATGGGTTGAACGTGTTTTTACGATCTTTCCAAGAGAGCTCATTGAAACATTTCGTCCAGCTGTACTTCAGAGACTCAGACAAGATTTCATCTACGCAGTTCAAATGGTAATTGTTTTCAGCAAGAATGACAAGATACAGGAGAAGTGTGAGAAGGATTGCAAGAAGATCTTCAGGAAATACAGAAAGACGAAGAAGAATGGAAAGGGGAAAGGAATGACAAAATACCGTGCAGAATGCAGAGTTCCAAAAGATGGTTCATTTGTATATTTTCACAAAAGAGATACACATGAACTTTACGAAGGTGTTCTGGAGAGAACTACTTCTCATGTTGATGATCATGATGTCAAATTGTACATTGTCCACGATACTTTCCTTCGCGCAGAATGGGAGACTCAAAATTGGCATCGTATATTACCACATTCAGAACCAAACACGATCGTTTACCAAGCTCAGAAAAGAATTCGTGAACGAACAAGGGTAATCTTCAACAACATCCTTCATGAACTGCGCGGAGAAGAAAGTCGATGAACCAGCTGCCCCATCAAATATACATGAACAAGCTTATTGGGACGGACGTTAAAAACTTAATTAAATGATTTAATAATTCTATTTTTTTAATCACAATCAAATAAAAAGATGAGGCATAGACCAACAACGAGTGCAAAAGGAGAAGTAACATTTGGATACAGTGTTAACCAGGACAAAAGTAAAATATTACAGAATGTTCAAGTTAATGTAAATTCACGTGATACAGAACCGAAACCAAAACCTTCAGAATTTAGTACAAGAGAAATTGTAACAGAAGCTACACCATCCGATGATGGAATTCAAGTTGTTTATGGACCACCGAAAGTCTATGAACCAGTTGATACTGATGATAAAATTACAACAGAACTTATGCATATTTATCGTGACATGTTAATTAGCAATAGTGGTAATATAATGAATTTAATAGATGATTCAGGAAAAATAATTTTACCTCATGATAGTTTAATTCATGTAATAAGTACTTTGTGCGGGGTTTCAGATGATAAAATTAAGATACAGTATTTCTTAGACGAAGAAGTCAATTGCTGTGGAGCATTAGCAACAAAAATAAATCCAATAAAAGAAATTTCAGCAATTAAAGTTAATAAAAATGGTGTCGTTAATGATTTGAATTTAACTTATAATGACATCTATAATTTAATTGTTGATGAATATAAGATTTCATTGGAAAGATTTTATTTAATTTGAATATTCTAATTGTAAAATAACATAAAATTTATTTTTGTTTTTGAAAATTTTCCTTGGCACTTGTGGAGTCATATCAAATGTAAAATAATGTTTTGTTTCATCAACACTTGTATGAACTCGTGCTTTTTTGGATAATAAATAATAGAAGATTTCGGTCCAATATGAATATGGGAAACCAATATCAGGATTTTCCTTATTAAGAGTAAATTTTTCATTTAAGTTAGTTTTATCAGGAAATATCTGAAGGCTTATTACATTATTCGTTGCATCATCAAGTTCAACTTTTAAACTATAATCATTTTCATCAAATAAACTTATCTCACCAGTTTCTTCAGAAACTTTCTTTGTTTTGATTTTTTCTTGTCCTGTTTCATTGTTTTTTTCAAAAAACTTTCTCTCGATTTCAGACTTTAATTTTCGAGTTATCATTTTACTAGTCAAGTCTTCACCATCAACAGTTTGGAAATTTAAATCTAAGAATTCAATTGGATGATTGATTGGAATAACTAATTGTTGATTAACAAGATTTTCAGAATTTGCAAAACATACAAAGTTATCATTTCTATTTTCCATCATATTTGAGTAGAAAACAATCTGATTTTGTGGTGTATCATATTCTTGATTTTCAGTCAGAAGTTCAGTTTCATTATTCAAAATAAATCTATTTTTTCGTTCAAAAAATTTAACATCTAATACTCTGATTTGCTTATATTTTGCTGAAATAAATTCAGGTGGTAACTTAGCACGCGTTTTATTCATAATTGGAAAATAAATACTTTGCATTCTTTAAATACTAATTAAAAACATAGAAATTTTAAAGAAACTCTGATAAATTTTTCCACTCTTTAATTATATCATTCATTTTATTAATTTGGTCATCTAAATTATCCCATTCAAGTTCAAGAAGTAAATAAAATCCTTTTTCTAGAAGACCTTCTGGAACAGGTTGTGGAAATTTTTTATAATTTTTTTCCCCTTCATGTTCTTTATCTATTTCTTTAGCTTCATCATACAAATATCTTAAAACGTAATGTGGTTCATCAGAGAAATTTGGTAAAATTGCTTTATTTTTATCTGTTTCTTTTGCAAAATATTGATCCAAATTAAAACCATATGAAATACAACTCTTATATTTCAATAATTCATCTTCTAAGGAATACAAGTTCATTATTGCTTTTCCAAATATTGTTGTATCAGATATTTTAAAGACATGGTTTGTCTTTTTATCAAGTATGTAAAGAAAAGTAACATCACGTGGTTTTTTAAAACTCTCAATTGATTTTGAGATCACAATAATATCATACGTGTGCCAATATCCACATGGTGGAAAACTGATTTCATATTCAAGGGTAGCGTTAACAGAATTTGCTGGAACGACATTAGGATCAAAAAATGATGTGAAATTTAAGTTTTTAATAGTTTACCTTCGATATTTTTAAGTTGGTCATAAAGCATAAATCCTCGTGCAAGTGAGATAATAATATCATTTGGATTTTCTGATTGAATTATTTGATCATATGGTGGTGACCAAATTTCTTTGTCATTACCATAGAAAGCGCATGAAAAGACATTATATTCTGGATGAAATTCAACAATTGCTGAGAAACTCCTATCTGTTGGACTCATGATATACAATGCTGAATTGTTCTTGAAGAAATTGAATTCTAATTCTGGGTAATAACTTGGATCTTCAGCATTCTTATTAACATAATCTAAAGCAAGATTATAAATTAATTCAGTTTTTTGGTTCATTGTTTTTAATCAACGATAAAATTTTTTATAATTGAATTTGTTTATTCAAATTAGAAATGTTACTTTTTCCACTAATGGAGAAGAGAAAGATCAAGAAGATAATAGTTGATGAAGGAACTTCATTTGAGAAGATATTCAACTTTGACGGTAATGGTTGGTTCACAACTATTACTGATAAAGATGGAGAACATTTCAGACCCAGAAAGGCACCAAGAAAACTTCAAGATCTGATTGAACCAATCAAACCAAAGAAGCCAAACAAACAAAACAAACCAAAGCAAACATCGGAAACATCGGAAACATATCCTATACCTGAAGTCCAAGAACCAGAGAGACTTTTGATACCAAGACCTGTGGATGACAAATATGATCCAGATAAGTTCTTCCCAAAAATACCTAAGTTAGAATAAAAACTCCTTTATATCTTTAGTATTATATAATAAGTCAATTAATAAGCTTTGTTCTCGTTCTGTTCTGGTGTTTTGTCTACCTTTCATGGTCTCACAAAGTAAGATCATGAACTTCTTCTTGAGATATTCGAAGAGCTGAGGTAAGTTATCATACTCTGGGTATGTAGGAAGCATCCCTGCTATCGTAAGTGTTGTGTCAGCAAGGATTGGGGTAATATCTGAAAAATCTATCTCTGGAGTAGAATATGAAGGTAAGTCTCTAACGTGTATGTAATCATTGTATGATTGTCGCATAAGATTGAGTTTCTGAAGAACAATGATAAGACTTTGACTTTGTCGTTCAAGTTTGCTTAATGTTCTCTCCAAACTTCTGTAATAAACGTCAACCTCTGTAAGAGCTTTTAATTTTGCTTCAGTCTTAGAGATCTTTTCTTGAACTTCACCAAGTTTGATCTGAACTGATGTTTTTGCTCCCATCATGTTTTCATCAAGGTCGTTCTCTATGTCGTCAATGATATCTTCCCATGGAGTCGTTTTGTCATCATTGATCTTCACGTGAACGCTCATGAAAAAAAATTCAAAAAAGTGACGTTTGTAAATGAATGTGTTTACTCTTAAGCTTCTTCTCTCTGGAGTTGCTGGTCTGTTGGGTTTAATGTGCCATCACGTTCGACCAGAATGTTCTGCTCAGGTCTGTCAAGGAGTTGTCTGTAAATCGTGAATGCTTCAACAAGATCTTCGTAAGGTGATTGACAATCTATATCAACCCATGGATGTTTGCGTAAGAACGCACAAAGACTATCACGCTTGGAGTCAATGACATCTTTCCTATCTGTAAGAGTTAAGTCGAAGTTAAGAATTACCCCTGCAGTTGATTCAAGTCTTGTGATCTGGCGTCTTGATAACCTAGCAAGATGGTGACCCTTAGTACCAAATACTTGAAGCAAGTACTGGCTAACAGCTTCGTTCATTTCGATCAGACAAATTGGGTGAAGATCGGTCATGAATTAATTGTTCGTGAATTTGCCCTTCATGAATTTCCCCTTCATGAATTAACGGTTCATGAATTTACCCTTCATGAATTTACCCTTCATGAATTTCCCCTTCATGAATTTATCGTTCATGAATTTACCCTTCATGAATTTTCCCTTCATGAATTTACCCTTCATAACTTTGACCAAATGTCCCAAGACGTTTCAGCGACACCAGCTCAAGCAGCACCGACACCAGACATGATGACAATGATGATGCAAATGATGCAACAACAAACACAGCTTATGCAACAAATGCAACAGGAGAAACCTTTATGGAAACCTACAAAGAATCCTCAAGATCTTGAAGCAGGACTCAATGCTCTCAGGAATGATTACAAGCGTGAACGTATGACCATGAAGAAAGGTGAAGAAGATTACGATCCGATCGAAGAAGACGAAATCAAGTCAACAGCTTCGACAAGAACACTACAAGCAGAGATGGAACAAGACGACTTCCTCCCTAAGTCCCAAAGACTTTACGTTCTCGAGTTCTTTACAGTCCCAGCATTGAGATCAATGCGCAATTGGAAAGGTCGTGTTCCAATGGGTTCCAACAGAAGAGAACTCCTCATGTCCGCCATACTTCTTGTTAAAACAAAGTCAGAACTTATGGACTTCATTCTTTCATCATGCCCCGATGAAATCTAAGATCAGAGTAAAAAACTTACATTGATTAAAATTAATTTTTTATTCATGACCTGCAAGACGTCTACGATAGAAGTCAATGAGAGCATCATAGATCTTGATCGTTGGATTGTGTTCGTCTCTGAGAACCTTAAGGTATTCCTTATATGCTTCAACATGTTTATAAGAATAAACTAGAGCATCTTTGAGTTCTTCAAGTTCTTCTCTCTCTTTAGGTGTCATTGACTCCATTAGACAAAATAAAAAGTGGCAAAATTAAGTATTAATAAATTAATTGTTTATTCTTTTTTCTCGTACTTCTGTGCAAGATTACCACGGAAGAAATCAAGCATCCTTTCGATTTGACTGAGCTGACGACCTTGTTTTTCAAGATCATCTTGGTAAGCACGAAATGCATCAACGTGAGAGCTAGCGTAAAAGGTAGCGACAACAACTTCTTCTGCACCTTGTTTGTTAGGTAACGCCATAAAGTCAACGCCTTCCATTAGATCAAATGGACTGTCAAAACCGTTCAGTCTGACCACTTCACTTTTAATGTCATCTGTTGAAGGGATTATGAATTTGGTTAAGCAACTCAAATTAGACATTGCGACAGAGATAAAAGAACATAAAGTTGACGCAAGGTCTTTGCGTAAATTGGAAGAATCAGTAAGTTATCTTGATGACATGATGAATTCTCTTGATCAGATCAAATGTGGAACCGGTACAAACATGAAAGAAAAAAAGAATGAATAAATCATTAAATTTTTATTCAATTTTTTATTCCTAACGCTGCTTCATAATCTGCAGCAATATGTCTACGGTAGAAGTTTATGATAACATCGAAGATTCTGACCGAATGATCTTCATTTCTATGTTCGTTGCAGTATTCCCAAAATGCTTCAATATGCCGTTGAGCATATTTAATGGCATCTTTCATCTCACGAAACTCTTCTTCTTTTGCGTCTTGTTTGTGTTCCATTAGATCAAATAGACTGTCAAAACCGTTCACTCTGACCACTTCACTTTTAATGTCATCGATTGAAGAGTCTCTCCAAAAACAGATTAATGAGTTGATGAACACAGTAAAGCAACTCCAATTTAACCTTGAGACAGAGATGAAAGAACTTAAAGCTGACTACTACAAAGATCAATTTCAGATGAATAAGATTCTCACTGATCACTCAGAGTCTTTGCGTACATTGGAATCCGAGAGTAGAAATCAATCAAGCTATATTGATGACATGTACTACTCTATGGATAAGATCAAAGGTGTCCTTCGTGAAAAAGGAATCATGGAACAAACAGGATGGACAACTCCTAAGCCATGGAAAGAAAAAAAGAATGAATAAATCATTAAATTTTTATTCAATTGTTTTTTAGTAAGTCTTGAGCATCATTTGCTGTTCTTAAGTATTGAATGTTAGTTTGACGATTCAATTGTCCGTGAAACTCACAGAAGAACAACATCATGAATAATAGAAGAATGAAAAGGTTAACACAAAAGAAAACAATGATTGCATTCGTGAGAAAGTTCATTGAGTTCTTTATATAAGACATGTCCTCGTCGTAGCCCATTGAAAAAATAAAAAGTGACATTTTTAATGATGAACACTGACAAGACAAGATTTCGTGAGTTCGCAAATTTATTAGAACCAATGGAGAATTACACACCAGTCCAAGCAATGGAGAAATTCAATGAACTTTATGGTGATTGCAACAATCTTAGTTACTTTACTAAGCTTTTGAGGTACTTTATTCAATTCAATTGCGAAACCTCTCCTAATGAAGTCTTTGCTCATAATGAATTCCTTGAACTCATCTATCAGGAATTGAAATTAGCAATTCTAACAAACTTTAAACCAGAAGAATAAAAAAATTAATTTAATAAAAATAACTTTTTTAGTTTGAGTCAATCATATGTCTCTGAATGAACCAATCAACAACGATTTCACCAATTTTTCTTTCAAATAAGTCACGAAAGTTCTTCATGGCATAATCGACAAATGCTTCATTGTTTTCTTTTGCATATTGCCAAGCAGCTTTTCTGAACGACTGAGCATCTTCAAAGTTTAGAACAGTTAACTCTTCACTCATGAAAAAAAGTGAAATGACCACATGGGTTGACAGTGTCATTTTTTAATAATGGATTTGGAATTCAATGTCTTTACCCAACGTCGAGTCCTTGATCAACATGGTATTACCAAAGAAAAGTTCATTGAAGATGTTGATACCTTATTTGATTCACAAAATCAAGATCAAGATGTAATCGTTAGTCTACCTTACTTGTTGATGGTCAAAGAAAAATTGATGAATAGTTTGAAATATCCCGAATCAGAAATTTTTCGAATGATCTATAATCAAAATTTTATGGGACATTGTTTCTCAGACATGCCATTAAAGGAGTTCCATGAAGAAATAGACAAAGCCATTGAGAAATACTTCTTCTTGCTTCCAAAAGCTGGTGAGGAATCAGAAGATGAACAAAAAGTTTCTTTCAAAGAAATTAATGAGAAACTTGATTCAATTCTTGAAGCCATTGCTGATCTTCAGGATGAAGTTTTCTTGATTGCCAAACATTTTAATCCAAACATGAACGAATAAAAACCTTATCGTTTACAAAACGTTATCGTTTACAAAACCTTATCGTTTACAAAACGTTATCGTTTAAAAAAGTGTCATTTTTTATTTGAATTATATGAGCTTGGACAAGTTCGAGGAGTTCTTTCGGTCATGGGTTACCAAGATAACTGTCACACCAAATGAATTACAAAGTCATTTCAAAGAAGTATATGGCGATACTCCCCTTACTGATATGAACAGTGTACGCTTATGGAATTACATTTCCTATTTGTGCAATAAATATCCGAACAAAGATTATGATTTCTTAAAGTTCGTGGAAGATTTCCAACACATTCTTGAACGAATGGATGAAGAAAAACAAAAACATGGTAATGGAATAACCTTAGTATTCTTATGAATAAAAACCTTATCGTTTAAAAAAGTGTCATTTTTAATTTGAATTAAATGAGAACGAGTAAGAAAAAAATCCATTCAGCAAATTAAAGAAAGTCTTTGATTCTTTAAAAGAAATTAAAGAGTTCAATGATGAATATTATTCTGACGATAAATCTTACAAGTCTTCAAACAACTATTTGATAAACTTAGCTCTTTTCAAGAACATCTTGGATACAGAATACACCGGCAAAGCAAAGAAAAAAGAAATTCTTGACTTTTTGGTTGGATCAGAACCAAAACCTGAAATCGAAGAACCTCATGTTGACGTTAATGATACTGAAGCTGAAATAGAGGAATTAATGAATATTCCTACAGCGCAGATACCGTTAAAGAAGTCCCATGATGAAAGGTTCCAAGATTTTGTTCAAGAAGTTTCACAGAATTTGTTGAACGGTGAATTTGATGAAAGTTTATCCAAAGAAGGTACAGAATTCGTCAAGAGACATAAATTACAGTTCATGGATTCTAATCTTGATTGTATTGAATTGTTCCATCCATTAGATGAAGTAGCTTTCAAGAAAGTTCTTGCCAGTAATCACTACAAAAAGAATTCCAAAAATATTGAAGATAAAGGATTATATACATTATATTACCTCAACAATGTTTCAGATGTAAAGCACATCTTAGATTACTTAGATGACATTGCAACAAAAACGAAAGGAACATATAAGATCTTATGTGATTTTGGTTTCGTTACTGAAGATTTTGTTACCAAACAATATTCATTAACACCACCAAAAGAAGATGAAGTTGAACGTTCAATCCCATTCACGATCTCAAACATCAAAGACATGAACTCCTATAAACATTACGTTTATGCAAACATTTTTGAGAAGATGGAACAAACACACATGTCATCAAGAATGAAATATTGTGCAATCACAACAGCTTTGTTCAAAGTTATTCCATTAAGAAAGTCTGGTGGTAAATTCCAAGCAAAAGGTTATGCATTCTTGAGCAAATTAAGGTGTGTTAGACATGTTGAAGATGAAAAAAATTTATGCACATTTAATGCTTTATTTACTTTATTAAATTAACTAAATTTGACATTTAATTTTTTGACATAAAGAATGTAATGAATTAAATCATCATATGCGCTTTGATCAGATTTTATAACATCCACCATTGTTGTACCGTTTTGATCAGGTTTCATTATATCAGCATTATAATCCAAAAGTTTTTTCGCATAAATAAGGTTATCTTTAAATTCAGTAGCAACGACAATTGGTAAATGACCATTTCGATCTAATTCATTTATATTAACATAGTTTCTAAGTAGAATATTGAATAATGGAAATTCTTTAAATTCAATTGCTTTATTAAAAAGAGTGAGTAGATCTGGCATCTTCCACCACTGCTGATATTTTTTAAGTAGTGTTTGGATCCAAATAATGTCATGTGAATACCACATACATTCTAAAAGGATTTTCTGTTGTGGAACAGAAAATTGATATATGTTGTTAAATAGCGACTCTGTCATTGGGAATGCTGCACACCATGGAGTAATAACTTTTCCATTTCGATGAAACAAAAGAGCAGCTTCTAAATTATAGTTTCGAACTATAAATTGATAATAATCTAAAGGATCAAGAATTAGATCAGTTTGTTGTAGAACAAAATTCAATAGATCAAGATTATATGATTCAATCATATTTCGAATACAAATTTCATTGAAGCTAAAATATTTGAGACACTCATTAATTATATCAGTACTTTTCCCAATTATTGCATTTTCTAACCATGATTCTTCAGGTTGAAATTGAAATTCTTTAAATAAAAAGTAAAATATGTTTACTGAACCAAACCTACAAGCTGCTTCTATTGGTGTTACATGAATGTAATGTAAAAAGTAAATATCATTCTCGTATCCACGTTCAATTATATAACGTTTCAATTCGTCAACATCATCATTCATTATTATTGTTTGTAGCTCTTCATCTTCTTCAATTACTATCCTATCTCCAGGATGTAATTTTGCTTCTATGCGAAACCAAGCAATCATTTTTTCATATATTTTTCTGCATTTATAATTATTTCTTATTCTCCATATCAAAAAGTTTTCAAAATCACGATTGTATGTCAGATGATATTTTTCGAACAAGATCCCTTTAATTCTATAATAAAGATCTTCAGCAAAACCTGGTTCTGGAGAAATAAGATATATATCTTTAATTACATCAATATAATCTTGATATTGTGCAAATTTAATTAAATAAAAACATTTAATCAAAGTCAATTTTATTTTTCATATTCAAATGGACTGAGTGTTAACATTTAACATTTTTTGCTAATTGTCGTCAAAAATTAGGCGTAAAGCAAAAATTGATATTTCATATGGTTTTATGATAGATAAGCATTATATTCCCACTCATTATATTCGTAAATTTTGAGGTTTATCCTTCGCTTTTAAGATCATTGAATTTGATTTTTATATAAAATAGTTATATATTAGAAAATAATATGAGTTTATGTGATATTATTTTTCAGAAGATTTCATTCTATATGCCTATGAAAAGTACTCTCAAAACTAACTTTTTCCTAATTATAATTAAATCTAGAATATTGTATTATGCTTAGTATTATTTCATTTTTCTCATTCAATTTAGAATTTACAAATGTCAAAAAATTGAGAGCTGTCACTTTTGATGAATTTCTGTTTATTACACTCATATGTCTTGAACGTTATTTTGTACATTGTTGCGATGTAGATTCCGTTCCAATTTGGGTCGTCGAAGTTGTGAATCAAGTTTGAAAACTCTTCTAACGTCATTTCTTCATCTCTTTCAGCTCGACCTTCAATATCTGATAAGATTAAATCAACTTCATTAGGAATGATGAGGTAAATTTTAGGAAGTGCCATTAAAAATTAAAAAAAGTGACATAAATGTTTCAAATAATTAAATATTTTAATATTATAATAAAATATGTTTAATTTAGCAGAACAACATGTAGATTACATCAAAGTCATGGATTTGTTACATACTTGTCCATCAGATGTAGATTTACAACGAGAAAGGGACAGACTAGCCCATTGTCACTTTTTAATTTAGCAAATGAACGCTTATGGAGTGGAGTTTTTGGGTAAATCTGATTTGCTTATAAATGAAATAAAATCAAAAGAAACCATATTGGCATTATATTATGCAAAAATAAATGATCTTACTTAGTACTTTTAAAGTTAATTTCAGAAAAAATTTGACACAATGGTATCCGGCACATACAAGTGGTGTACAACCAAAATATAAGTTGGTTTAAACATATATTGCTATATCTCATGATCTTACTTAGTACTTTTAAAGTTAATTTCAGAAAAAATTTGACACAATGGTATCCGGCACATACAAGTGGTGTACAACCAAAATATAAGTTAGTTTAAACATATATTGCTATATCTCATGATCTTACTTAGTACTTTTAAAGTTAATTTCAGAAAAAATTTGACACAATGGTATCCGGCACATACAAGTGGTGTACAACCAAAATATAAGTTGGTTTAAACATATATTGCTATATCTCATGATCTTACTTAGTACTTTTAAAGTTAATTTCAGAAAAAATTTGACACAATGGTATCCGGCACATACAAGTGGTGTACAACCAAAATATAAGTTAGTTTAAACATATATTGCTATATCTCATGATCTTACTTAATACTTTTAAAGTTAATTTCAGAAAAAATTTGACACAATGGTATCCGGCACATACAAGTGGTGTACAACCAAAATATAAGTTGGTTTAAACATATATTGCTATATCTCATGATCTTACTTAGTACTTTTAAAGTTAATTTCAGAAAAAATTTGACACAATGGTATCCGGCACATACAAGTGGTGTACAACCAAAATATAAGTTGGTTTAAACATATATTGCTATATCTCATGATCTTACTTAGTACTTTTAAAGTTAATTTCAGAAAAAATTTGACACAATGGTATCCGGCACATACAAGTGGTGTACAACCAAAATATAAGTTGGTTTAAACATATATTGCTATATCTCATGATCTTACTTAGTACTTTTAAAGTTAATTTCAGAAAAAATTTGACACAATGGTATCCGGCACATACAAGTGGTGTACAACCAAATCTTCGACTCGATGAACTTGTCATCGAGTTATATTCCAGTGTTGTTCCTTCATTCCTGATTAAGTTGCAAATTAAAGGTCTGGATTCAGAGAGAAGTGTTAAAGTTATCAAAAAAGTCACAAGAGATTTCGAAGAAATGACACAATTTTAAAAAGTCGAATGCATCAGTATGCTTGAAGCTGTTCAGAAAGGTCTGAAAAATGATACACTTGATCCCAACATTGTTTACTCAACATTAAAAATATTATTGCAAAGAAAACATTTGATTTAATAAACATTTAATTTATTATAATTAATTTTTTATTACAGTATAGTAAAAAATGCTATAAATAAATTATTATATTTTATTAAAATGTGACTTTTAATAGTAAGTGAATAAAATAAATCAGGAATTGGGAAAGAAATAAGGTTAATTAAAAATAATGAAAATTACAAGTTTAAGGTTAATGAAAAAGTGACAGTGGGCGAGTTTGTCCCCCACTCGATTTACAACTCATGATTGATGGTGTAAATGAAACTTTATTCAATAAATACGGTCTTAGTGCTGATGCAGATTTTAAAAATTTTATTGATAAATTACCTTTTTACAATTATCATGCAATAAAGGTCTATCGTTTGCTTAAACACAAATTGTTCAATGATCCTTACTATGAGATAGGAGATGATGATCTAGAAACAATGATAACTGATGATGATATCGCAAAATTTAAAATTTATGCAGCTCAAAATTCAGTAGATGTTTATGTTTTGTTTTCGGGTTTCATTAGACTAAAACTAATGGAAGCAGTTTGTCAAATGGGTGCAGTTCACATTTTTTATTTCATACTTCAAAATTTCAGTTTAACTCCGAGTTCATCATGGTTGGCAAGTGCAATAATTGGAAGAAATACTGATATTATTAATGAATGTCTAAAAATGGTTCCAATTGATCATAATTGTATTAAAGCTTGTATTGAGTCACATAATCATGATTTTTTAGAATATATTTTGGAGAACAAAGACATCAACTTAAATCCATTAGATTATTACCAATATATTGTTCAGAATTATAATTTTAAAGCTGCGATGATATTATATGAAAAAGGTTATGTTATTACACCATGGTGTGCGTCATTTCCAATGACAGGTTTAATATTTATCAACATTACTCAATTATCTGTTCCCGAACAGAGGATACTTTTAGAATGTATATGGTATTCACACAATCTAGTATGGATTAAAGTGATACTTCAAAGGTATAGAAATTGGATGAGAAAAGATTTGATTACTTTATTAAATAAATCAATTGTATATCAATGGAAAGATTTATTTGATTATTTAATTCAACAATGTAAAGGACATCTTGATCACAAGGATAGAAATGGATATCTACCATTAAATTTAGCAATTAAACTTGAAAATGAAGATTATGCAATAGCACTTATTGAATATGGTGCTAATATTTTCAAAGCTGATAAAAAAGGACGCACTGCAGTCGATTTGTTAAAGCGTGATCCTGGAAAATATGATAAATTACTACATTACTTAGTCTATGACAAGAAATTACTTGCAGGTCGGATATATTTTAAAAGAAAAGGAAAATAATTTTTTAATTCCTTGAAAAATATATAAAATTTGATCATAAATAAAATCGTTTTAAATTACTTCTTCATTTAAATTATAACAATTATTTTTGGTTTTATATTTTTTTGGATCAAATCCATTTTAATAGAATTTATATACTATTCATCTATTAGTAAACACTACCGTATATTATTTTGAGAGAGGGTCAAAGTTGCTATTTGTCACTTTTCCACAAGAATATAATGGGGGAAAAGTTATCATATAGTTGATCTCATTCACTTAGGTGAGAGATGCATGTAGTGTAATGGGATAAACAGTGGTATTTCTGCTCTAAGTCCTAGGTTCGAGACACATTGGCTTCATTTTTTTTCTTTTTTATTGACGTAAACTATTCAATTTTTGTGTTCTCCATTCAAATTTCAGAATTTTTTTGCAGATTTCACGCTACATTCGAAGTTACCTTTTGTAACAACCACCACTGCCTACGAAAGACGAAAGTGTGTCACGATTTCACCCGGAAATCCGACGGTTGTTTAAGAGTATGCACTTTTGTCACCGAGTGTGGTAGAATTTACGAAAAAGTGACACTTAACCTTAAATTTCCAAACACTATTTTTTGATTGTATTTTGTTATTTATATATTTATATATATAAATATATTTATATATGTATATTTATATATGTATATATTTATATATTTATATATGTATATATTTATATATGTATATATTTATATATGTATATATTTATATATGTATATATTTATATATGTATATATTTATATATGTATATATTTATATATGTATATATTTATATATGTATATATTTATATATGTATATATTTATATATGTATATATTTATATATGTATATATTTATATATGTATATATTTATATATGTATATATTTATATATGTATATATTTATATATGTATATATTTATATATGTATATATTTATATATGTATATATGCATGTATTTATATATGTATATTTATTTAAAAAAATTAAAAATAATATAATTAAAATTTATTTATATTTTAAATTTCATACTGATCTTCGATTCCAATTTGTGAATTGATATCATTAACAATTGAATTTCGGTGCACCCCTATGAGAGCGCTGGCGACCGAAACACAACTAGTAAGATTGTGTATTAGAAACTGCTTCATGCTGTGTTGAGTAAGCTTCGATGTCTTTGTAGGATAGCTTTCTGAGAGCGAAACAAGATAGTGTTGAAAAAAAAAATTGAAAATCTGAGAGACTGTGCAAGAGCCAACGACCAAAACACTACCAGTAAGATACAGCAGTAGTAGCTGCTTCATGCTGCATTGAGTATTGTTGAATAATTTGAAGTAGTGGTTTTTGAAATCAGCACCCCTATGAGAGCGCTGGCGACCGAAACACAACTAGTAAGATTGTGTATTAGAAACTGCTTCATGCTGTGTTGAGTAAGCTTCGATGTCTTTGTAGGATAGCTTTCTGAGAGCGAAACAAGATAGTGTTGAAAAAAAAATTGAAAATCTGAGAGACTGTGCAAGAGCCAACGACCAAAACACTACCAGTAAGATACAGCAGTAGTAGCTGCTTCATGCTGCATTGAGTATTGTTGAATAATTTGAAGTAGTGGTTTTTGAAATCAGCACCCCTATGAGAGCGCTGGCGACCGAAACACAACTAGTAAGATTGTGTATTAGAAACTGCTTCATGCTTTGTTGAGTAAGCTTCGATATCTTTATCAGACCACCTTTAAATTAACCACTCACATTCTCACTGTGGTCCATCTAAAATTTGTAAACTTTATGACATAAAATTATATTTTATGCAGGATCCCACCTATTACTTAATCTTTTTGGAATAAATGTTTTATAATATTTATCGATTGATTGTAATTTTTTGTATAAAAAAAAGTTTTTTATTTATATTAAAAATATATTCGGTTAATGATATTATCTTATAATTTGTAAATAAATCTAGTAATAAAATAACTTTAATAGTTGGTGTCACTTTTTCGAAAATTCTGGTTTTTTCTTTTGTCACCTACTCATATTATTTTTAAGCTATCTTATTTTTTGAAATTTTATTCAAATCTTTGGTCGCAAGAATAATTGCATGATAAATAAAAACATTTAATCAAAGTCAATTTTATTTTTCATATTCAAATGGACTGAGTGTTAACATTTAACATTTTTTGCTAATTGTCGTCAAAAATTAGGCGTAAAGCAAAAATTGATATTTCATATGGTTTTATGATAGATAAGCATTATATTCCCACTCATTATATTCGTAAATTTTGAGGTTTATCCTTCGCTTTTAAGATCATTGAATTTGATTTTTATATAAAATAGTTATATATTAGAAAATAATATGAGTTTATGTGATATTATTTTTCAGAAGATTTTGTGTTCTTCTTCAAAATTTTATTTTTTTATTAAAAAAAAAAAAAAAAAAAAAAAGGTATTGGGGCTTCCAGGCACTTCGTGCCCTCTAGCCCCGAAGATGTTTTGTCACTTTTCTGTCACTTTTCAGGAAAAAAACATTTTTATTAAATATAAAATGAATTTTACAAAACCACCGTTACCCTTCTTTGGAAATAAGAGTAGATGTAAAGATATTCTATTGAGAGAACTTAAGAAACTACCGAATGGTCTAACATTTGTAGATTTGTTCGGTGGAAGTTTCTATATATCTCATTTGTGCCATACTGTATTTCCTGACTCAAAGATTATATGCAATGACTTCGACAACTATATGAACCGTCTCAAACATATACCAGACACAAACAAAATATTGAAAGAGTTAAAAGAAAAGATACCTATAGGTAAGATGGAACGTATACCATTAGATAAGAAAAATACTGTCAGAGAGGTTTTGAAAAAAGCAGAGTATATTGACTGGGATAGTATATCTTCTAGACTATTATATAGTGGTTCTATAAGAGTTCATGACATTGAAACACTTATGTCAAACGTTTTATATCTTAACTATACAAAGGTTTTCAAAGAGAACATAGAAAAATATACTGAGGGTATAGAGTTTGTGAGATGTCGTTGGACAGAGTTGTATGAAAAATATAAAAACAAGGAAAATGTTTTCTTTATAGTAGACCCACCGTTCTATAACACATATGATTTTCAATACCAAGCAGACTGGACTTTGAGAGACTCTTTAGAAACTTTAGACGTTTTACATAACCATCCATGCTTTTACTTTACATCCGATAAAAGTGGTTTGGAAACCGTTATGAGATGGTTAGAGGATATACATGACTATGATTTTAGATACGATAAGATAGAATATGAGAGAGGTCCTATAAACCGGAAAAAGTGTCACAACAAAGAAATTTTATTGGTAAGTAAATGTGGTTTGAAATAGGACTACTTGTTTTAGGTTTTTTCCATTGTGTCATTTACTTATTTGACGTGGCAGAAAGATATAGAGAATATGAAGATGAACCAATACCAGCAAATGTTCAGCATATGTACTCGTAAGAGATATTTTTATCTAATATTAAAATGGACGCACAGAACTTAGCGAATGCACAGCAACCTGGACAACCAAACCCAGAGAATATTCCAAATGAAGTTAGAATACAAACTGCAATGGCAAACTATGGTCAAGTGCCAACAGATGTACAAATGCAAACTGCCATGTCAAATGACGCTGCGTTAGGTTTGCCACCATGGTATGCAAATATGAGATGGAAAGAGTTTTATACAAACCCTGAAGTGGGATATAAACAACTCTATGCAGATGACGCGAACACAGGAGTTGACCCAGAGTATGTTTTCTACCAGAGGAGAAATAGAATGTATGAGCTCCAGTTAAAAAATGCTATGGAACTCAGAAGGAAACGTAAGAGACTAGGCGGACATTAGATTTTTACATATAGTAAAATGGGTTTCTTTGGAAGAATAGGAAACTTCTTCAGAAGAGTTGGAAGAGGTATATGGAATGGAATAAAAACCGTAGGAAGAGGAATTTGGAACGGAGTCAAAAATATTGGCAAAAGAGTAGGTCAGTTTGTTGGTATTATACCTAAAGACCCTGAACCAGAAGAACAAGCTCCTGTTATACAACAGCCTGAACCTGCACCACAGTCTAGTTGGCAACCAAATCCAACACCTCAACCGTATTAAAATTATATTTTTACCGTTCGATAGTAGTTGTATATGAAACTAAGTTCTAAGTAAAACGCGTGGTATAATGGAACTATTCTCTTTCTTCCATCTGTTGTAAACCATACTTGAAAGTCTGAAATACTTCCACTCGGTGGTTCATATAGCTTTGTAGGTTTTTCGTAAAAGTCATTTGCCAAGCATAAAAAAGAGTTTTGTGCACCAGAAAATGAAGCATGAACTATAATAGCATCTGAGTCGAAAACATTTTCATATGTTCCATTAGGGTTTTCGACTTCATAAAAGTTCGGGTGTACTGGATATTCTGCAGGCTGATTTAACATCCTCAAAAATCTATACCATGCCAAGTTGTTATATTTTGTAGAAATATAAACGTCTTCTCCAAGGTCTTCTATTCTATCGATTTTAACAGTTGCATTTTTCCTGTCATAAACAATATCGAGATGGTACTCTCCTTCGTCAATGTTAAACTGGTTTGCATATTCGAGATAGATATCGTTTATTTTTTCTTGAAAAGCTTGAAGAGTTGTTTCTAAGTTTACAAGCAAATTCACTTGTAAAAGTTTTCCCTGTTCAAATTTCTCATACGTACGTTTTTCTTTGTTATAGTATCGAACTTCAAAAGCGACCGTAAATGGGAAACCATGTATGGCTTCTGAAATGAACTTCATTCTACGAAAGCCAATAGCTTTTGTGACGGATGGGTCTCTTAACCATCTTAACGGGTAGTCAAAACGATAGCCTTCATGCTTTACGGTCTCTGTCTCAAACTTTTGACCGACATTCGTAAAAAGTTCATCTAATGGTTTAGTTGTAGCAACTCTTGAATTTTCTTTTTCTATTGAAAGCATATTTTATCTAGAATAAAAATGTCGAAAGAAACAGCGTCTATGAGAGAAATACAACACAACCGACAACTCATTATACAAGCTCTAAATAAGAACACAACAAACTTTTCAAACTATTCTAAGATATCTGAGTCATTGAAAGAAGGAAACTTAAAACTGACGATAAACCCATTGACAGACGAGTTTCTGTTTCAAGACAGTAAGAACCATACTGTTTGTATAAATCCAACAAAAAGAACTTTAAACGAGAAACCTATAGATGAACTTCTTTTGAAGGCAGATATTGACAACAAAGCTGACAAAGAGTATGTAGATGCAACAAAAGACTATATTCTCGCATGGACAGATAGAACATACCCACAAAAACATCATACACATAACATCTATGACGTAGATGAACTACCAGAAAAGTTAGATGACAAAGCGGATAAAACATATGTTGACAATAAAATGTCAAGTGAAGTGACAAGAGCTGACAAAGAATATTCTAAAAAGACTCATACACATACCATTGCAAATATTACAAACTTACAAGAAACCTTAAACAGGAAAAGTGACGTTGGACATACACACGATTTCTTCTCAACTGTTGGTATAGAAAATATTGAAGGAACGGTTGAAGAAACTGGTGGGGATGTATTAAATTGGAAACCTCCTAACTTTCCACAAGGTTTAACATCGGATGAAGACATAACAACGATGAGATACATTAGATGTAGAAATGTCTATGTCATGGAGGATGAAAACAATGTTAAATTCACTGCTCAAGATTTATATGATAAAAAAGCTGACAAAACAGAGCTTCAAACATTAAAGATTGAAATACTTCAAACAGTATATCCTATAGGTTCTATTTACACGTCAATGAACTCTACCAGACCAGAAGTAGTACTTGGTCTCGGAACTTGGACTCAAATAGTCGACAGGTTTTTGTATTGTGCAAACTCTTCAAAGGAAACAGGTGGAAGTAAAACGATTTCAGGTGAAAACTTACCTGCGCACAGTCACTACATAGATTTAAGTACATCTCAAGCAGGTTGGCATAAGCATAGATTTTGGGATTGGTCAGCAATGAAAAAAGGTAAAGGATATGATGTTAAAGACAACGTTCAGTTTGCTATAAATTGTTTCTGGGGTAGCACACAGGGAGAAGGAAACCATACACATCGCGTTTCAGGGTATACGCAAACAACGGGACAAAGTAAAGACTACATGCCACCTTACATGACAGTTTACGCATGGTATAGAAATGCTTAGTCGTCATTTTCAACTTCTTTAGCATATTCGTCAGGAGTTGTCTTATATTTGTTAGGAACTGTCTTTGAAAGTATACCACCTTGAACTTTGACAAGTTTGAAACGAGGTCTGACAATAGTAGTTTTATCTTCTGCTTGCAGTCTGTACATTTTGCCATGTTTGCCTAAAACTTCATAATATTCTCTTGTATACTTTCTTCTATTTTTACGAACACGAACGTGAGTACCTGTCGAGTTCCCATTGTTGTCATAGTCAATAGTATTTTCATATGGGTCGCGTTTAGGTATTTCTATTTTTACTTTGTCACCTTTCTTAAGTTTGAAGCCCGGCATTCTTTCTTGTTTGTCTCTTTTGACTAAACTATTAAATATATAGTTTCTCTAAGTCAGGGTTGTTTTTCATTTCTTCAGGGGAATGGTTTCCCAAACCTTTTTGTTTACGGCTATTGTAAATATTTAAAACTTGTCTCATCTTTGCCATGGAGAAGTGTCTATATTTGTCGTCATATGACATTTCATCTACCTCACCACCTTGTGGTTGGTTTAAGTCTCTTAAGATTTTTATACAACTGTCAATGACACCAAGAGCAGAATGGTTTTGGTCGACAATGAAATATTGGTTTACATTTTTTGAACGCAGATAGTTTTTAATATCGTCTGATTTGAAAGAACTTTCATAGTCAGATGTCAGTTTTGTTGGATGGTATTTGTCAACGAATATTGTCAAAGCAGTTTTCACATCTAAATATTTTTGGACCATAATGGTATGGCTTCACAGTATCTTGTGTTTTGACCGACAAATATTAGCCAATATGGTGGTCCATCTTCTCTATACCTCGGAATGTTTTCCAAGATATCCATAAACCAAGCATTTGGTGTTGAACTAAAGATTTTTACCATGAGTGCTTTCTTTGTTGCTTTAGAAACATACGGGTCCTTGTTTGAATTCGTCATTTTTAACCCATAAGAAATGGGTTTATTTGGCGCAATAGCAGGAGTCGCATCTAGATTTTTACCCGCAGTGGGAACACTAGCCAGAGGTGCATTTGGAATTGGAAGGAAGATTTTGAGTACATTAGGTATACTGAAAGAGAAAGCGCAACCTATTATACAAACCGTACAGAAAGGTTGGGATGTAGCACGAGATGCAGCAAATCTTATTCCAAATCCCGAAACAAGAGGAAAAGTTCAAGGATGGATGGACAATGTAGGAAGACAAGCAGGAAACTACTATAACAAAGCAAATGACTACTATAACCAAGCAGGGCACTATATGGACCAAGGTGAAAGATTCTTTAACAGAGGATATAACCATGCACAACAGTGGGTAAACAACAACCAACCTCAACCGCCTCAAACGTGGGGAATGTAAATTTTTTTACTGAGATGAAATGAACAATACAGCATTGAGACAAATGGGCTCAAGATGGCTTTGTCGGCTTCCAGCAGTTACACAACGTGTTTGTCAAGTTCTTCCTATACCTCAGGAAGTTTTAGACCGACTTAAAAAACCTAAACAACCAGTTGAAAACAAACCAAACTAAAATTTTTTACTGAGATGAAATGACCGAAGAAGTTGAAACGGTAGATTTGACACCACAAACAAAAAGTTCAGAACCATTGTCAAAACCTGTCAAAGAACTTACAGATGAAGAGAAAAATTCAATAATAGAAAGTGTGAGGTCTGGAAATACAAACCCTAACTACAAAGTCACTTTTCATAAAAATGGAACGGCAAGTATCTCAAAAAAGAAACAGACTCTCACAAATAAAATATTGAAGTCTGAAGGAGCTTTCGAGACAACAGATGGAAAAGTTTACTTCACTGACCAACAGTTCATTATAGAACATCTCATTGACTTAGAGTCGAAATATTCTAAACTTTACAACAAACACAAAAAGTTGAAAGGAAAACAGAAACAGATGGCATATGACATTTATGAAGATGTTAACGACACAACTATTCCAGCAAGTGAGGTAAAGTCAGAGGAACCGAAAAGTGACGAAAAACAGATAGAAGAAGAAAAACCAAAAACTGAAGAAAAACCAAAACCAAAGTTTAGTCTCCAGACTAAACCAAGCCAACCTTCATTAGCTGGTATGGGTTGGCGTCAAAGACTTTTGGCAGCAGGTGGTTATGTTAAGTAAAGGAAAAACATTTTTTTATTTTATTTGAAATGTACGCTGAGTCTGTCGGAGACGACCGTTGGGAAAACATAGATGAAGAAGTCTTTACAAAACATTGACGATGAAAGTTCATGAGAAATTAGATGAAGAAAGTTCATGAGAAATTAGATGAGAAATATGAAATGGCATACCATTTAAAACAAAACATTTTTTTCAAAAAAACATTTTTTTATTTTATTTGAAATGTACGCTGAGTTTGTTGGAGAAGACCGTTGGGAAACTTGTTTGTTAGATGAGAAATATGAAATTCACTGTTGTGAGTCATTTGAAGTCAGAAAAAAAGAGACAAAAAGAGTTTTAAGCGAATGTGAGCGAAATGACGGATATGCTATGATGAGGATGAGTGGGAAACGCTATTTAAAACATGTTGTCATTGCAACTCATTTTATACCGAATCCTAACAATTTACCTTTTGTAGACCATATAAACCGTATAAGAAACGACAATAGACTTGAAAACTTGCGTTGGGTCACTCGTTCTGAAAACAATAAGAACATAGGCAAATTTGGAGATATTGTATTCGAATTTGTCGACGAACTAGAAGATGAAACAATTGAAATTACAGACTATGGCGAGCATACGTTTGAGTTTTACTACTATAGCGAAGAACAAGACTCTTTCTACTTTTATACCGGCGTAAACTATAGGAAATTACAAGTATATTTTACTAAGGATGGCTATGCTCATGTAAACGCTAGAGATACAGATGGAAAAAACGTTCATATACTTCTTAACAAATTCAAGAAGCTATATGGCATACCATTTTAAAACAGTATATTTTTTTATTTTTATAAAAATGCCCCCGTATAGAATGGATAGAAAATCTGCTAGAATAAAAGCAGAGTTAGAAAGATATGGTTGGAGAGTTTCGAAAAAGTTTAAATATAGGAAGGGAAAGCCAATAAAAGTCTATGACAAACTGGCTGGTCTGACCTATGAAATGGACTTGGAAACAGCGCGCGCCAACTATCCAAACAGACTGGAGAGGTTAGAAGAAGAACGTCTTATGGACATGCCTTTCGATGTTAGTGAGCCTCAAGTTGAAGGACACGACGGCTTTGCCAGATTCTACTGGAAACATAACGAACAATTGTATCCTTTGAGGAGGAAAAAGGGGAGGGGTGAAGACGCACATGCTCCCATGGAAAGAACAAGATATGCATATGAAAAGTATCGCGAGGTTAGAAGTAAAATTACTTCTGGTCGAACCTTTACAGTAAACTTTGACGAAGGAAAGAACAAAGAAGGCTTCATGGGTGTACTTGCTGCCATACAAGACGGAAATAAGAAAGGATACAATCTCAGACTAACCGTAACAGATTTAGATGGTCATATATACTACTCGCATGGCAATGTCACAACAGCTGCAATGCTTCTTGACGCTTTCAAGACTACAAAGAGAGAACAAATGTTTGACTCCGACTCAGACATCTTAAATGCGATTGAAGGAATTGCAAGCGTGAAGTTCGAATGGTATCAACCTAACCCTCAAGCAGTCAGACAACATGCTGGGTATTTCCCGTTCATAAACAAGTCTGACATTGACTTGACAAGGTATGGAATTTACAATTCAATTGAAAAAATTGTCAATGAACCTTGTATTCTTACATGTCTCAGGAACTCTGGTCTTGTTACAGATGAGAAGATGAAGTATCTTGAGTCATGTGTGAAAACAAGGTACATTCTTAGAAGTCAATTGACAAAAATTGCACCGTTGGCAAATGTGAATATCCGAGTCAACATTCCGACTGAGAAAGGTTCTTCGCACGATGACTATGTAGTTGACTTCAAATTGCCATGGTTGAAGATTGTACTTGTCCACAACCACTTCATGTTGAACGAAAGTCTTACAAACCCATTGTTCGGAAAGGGCAAATGCAACATTGTCAGAGCTGTTAACATTCTTTTCGAGAAAGGCTTGTTGGAACCAATTCCAGATGACAAGCTGACAGAAACTTTTGTACCAAAAGACGAAACAAATTTTTCATTGTTAGTGAGACCAAAAGTTGTTCCAGACAAAGTTCTAGCACAAAAGAAGTACACAGTTCCAAAAGGAGTTGGATTGTTCGGATACCAACCTGAACCAGAAGAACTTCCAATGAGGTTGCAAGAACTTCAAGATGCTATAAACAAACTCCCATTGAGGCATCCAATTGATGTCAAATTGTATTGGAGAGCATCTGAGTTAGGTCAGAAAATTTTATATGAAACAGGTTGCTTTGACGATGTTTATGAGATAACAGGCGAGGTTTCTCAGAAGATAAGAGACTCACTTGAATTTCCACGAACCGGACCCATTGGATGCGACAAGTTCGACTCATACGAAAAAATATACTATGTCGACCTTAACGCTGCGTACATGAGGTTCGTCCAATATATCCCGACTGGAATTCCAAACGAAGACGGTAAGTTCCCGGGAAAGAACTATACAGTTGGAAAAGTCATACAACAAATGTATGATATTAGGAAAGCTTCAAACCCCAAACTTGCAATGACAATCAAATTGCTTATGAATTCGACATGGGGATATTCCATTAAAAAACCTCAAAAGATGAAGAGTAAACACTATGAGAAAGTCGACAACTTTGTTGAAAGGTTCTCCCCTTTTGTTTTGAAATACGAATTTACTCAAGGTCAAAGTGGCTCAGTAACCACAGTAAAACCTATTGTCGAACATTGGTCTTATCCTCAGTTCGCAAAGGCAGTCCTTGACAACTACAACAAATTTTTCTCGGAAGTTAAATCGAAAGTGAAGGTATACTACGAGAACATCGATGCACTCATGACGAACGAAGAAGGCTATAACAAACTCAT